GTAATGTTGTTGCCACTAAGTCCTTGCCATTCAATGGTCCAGCCACCACATTGATATCCTAGATTATCAGCATGGCTTCCAGCAACTAGAATTTTTTTAGCCTTTTTAGGAAGAGGGAGTAGTGGCTCATCTGCATTTTCACCATTCTTCAATAGAACCAATGATTTCCTCACAGCTTCCCTAGCCAAATTTCTATGCTTCTGTAGAGTTACATTGACAACACAGTTATATCAGAACATGGTGGATATATAGATAGAAATTGTTTCTTAAAAAAGGCAGAAAACTGATTATTTTATTAAAAAAGTGTCTTTGGGAGAAAATCATTAAACAAACGAGCCAATTTTTACACATTTTGTGATTGACTAACCTGATTCCCAATCTGGTTGGCTAGACTATTATCAGCCAAAGGATTCTCAAAAAGTCCCATAACGAATTTTACCCTCAAAATCCTCTTAACTGCATCATCAATTCGGCTCATGGGTATGATATTCTTTTTCACTTGTGTGGTTAGGCCATCTATGAATTCTGTAAAGTTATAGGGAAGCATTACCTGTAGCATTACCACCGCAAGTATTAGAAGATAACACATGTTATGTGGAATATCAATTAAGGTGATATCATACATAATCAACAGAATTGAAAAGACCACCTCGGTGTCTTTGTCAACTGTGTTCTTGATAGCAATAAGAATTGTTGTACCTGCAGATCATATAGGCCTTGTCAATATTTCATTTTAGCCTAGAGTCTATTTTAATACAAATTTAGCATATGTTTGATTTTACATTCATGATCCACGTTTAGACAAAAATCATATCAAAATTTATGTTAAAGCAACTATTTGTTGCTTCTACTGATAGACAAACTTTGTAAGCTCAAATAAGTTTGTACCTTTGGTAATGTTGTTGCCACTAAGTCCTTGCCATTCAATGGTCCAGCCACCACATTGATATCCTAGATTATCAGCATGGCTTCCAGCAACTAGAATTTTTTTAGCCTTTTTAGGAAGAGGGAGTAGTGGCTCATCTGCATTTTCACCATTCTTCAATAGAACCAATGATTTCCTCACAGCTTCCCTAGCCAAATTTCTATGCTTCTGTAGAGTTACATTGACAACACAGTTATATCAGAACATGGTGGATATATAGATAGAAATTGTTTCTTAAAAAAGGCAGAAAACTGATTATTTTATTAAAAAAGTGTCTTTGGGAGAAAATCATTAAACAAACGAGCCAATTTTTACACATTTTGTGATTGACTAACCTGATTCCCAATCTGGTTGGCTAGACTATTATCAGCCAAAGGATTCTCAAAAAGTCCCATAACGAATTTTACCCTCAAAATCCTCTTAACTGCATCATCAATTCGGCTCATGGGTATGATATTCTTTTTCACTTGTGTGGTTAGGCCATCTATGAATTCTGTAAAGTTATAGGGAAGCATTACCTGTAGCATTACCACCGCAAGTATTAGAAGATAACACATGTTATGTGGAATATCAATTAAGGTGATATCATACATAATCAACAGAATTGAAATATTTTACCATGTCAATTCCAGCCGTGACTCCAGCATAAATGGAGTATGAGTAGTTAGCATGAGGAGGGGAAGTAATCCTATCAATTCCCTCCATATCTGATATGACAAAACCCTGCAAGAAACCAAAGGATTTCAGGACTCGTTCATAATTTTGAATTCAATGGTGCCCTGATGAGTTCAGTGTTGTTACCCTGAAGCGTAGTGTGTTCTTGAGAAAGTCAGTGACCAGATTATGATTAGCATGCATCTTTTCTCCATTCCAGCTTGAATAAGAGACCATGACCGATGCAACACCCTTGATGATTGAGTTATAGTAGGCTGGCATGTGAATGCTTAACAATCCATGTCTGCTTATCACTGTGTTGTTCTCATCGATTCCCTTTGTGGTTCCACCATCACCAACAAAGTGCTTTGCACAGGCTACAACTTTCTTCCTGTGCAATTTCAGTAACATAAATTGATCATTGTCATTCCTCAAGAATACTAAAATCACATCAAGAATAAAATCAAAGGAGCTTTGAAAAAGTCAATGTTTTATATGATCAATTCTCAAATTATAAAATAAGGATACAAGACTAAGGCAATAGTGCGAGTTCTTACTTTCCAGCTACATATGGAACACCCTTTCTGGAGTTTGCAGGGATTTCACCTTGCAGTCCTGGAATGATCTCAGTCATGGCTTGAACTACCTTATGATCTTCACTATAACTTTCATAACATCTGCCCCATCTTGGATCTCTACAAACCTATTCAACATATTATAAGGTATGACTGAGGTAAAAAAATATATGGTACAATTATCAATTAGGATGTTCTCGCTTACAGCTATGCAAGGTGCAAAGGCATATTGAATTCCAGTTGCTCTAACTTCAAGAGCTGTTGCTTCTCCAATCTTCCTCACTAGTTTAGGGTCCCTGTTTGATCAGAGTTAAACTTCATTAAGATACAGAAGCATATTATAATTTATCTGCTTTAACTATAATTCACTTTGTCACCAACTTTTATTCAATCACCTTTTGTGAGCCCGAGTTTAAAGTATGTCACAGAATCTAATAAATTATGTGTTTGGATTCTCAACTTTTCATATTAAAACGCACAAAATCACAACTAATAATTGCTTATCTGATTCACTTGAAATGCTTGGATGAGAATCTAACCACGCAATAAATATTTGATCACGAAAATAATAACATTTTGGGCACGAGTCATTCTACTTTTATTGTTGTTTTCAACCACGTATAACTGTTAATTCAGGTAAGCATTGTTTATTTGGTTTGGACAATTTAAAAATCATTATCGATATAGTTAACAACATTGACAAAATAAAAATCATGTCAATTTCTGGTTCTATCTC